CTGCAGATCAATCTAGGCGTTTCAACATTGGAGTAGTCAATTTCGACGACCGCGACGATTAAAATGACGAGGAACCGACATCTTCACGTACTCTGAAAATTATTGAAAGTATTCAATCGCAGATGAGCGAGTTCAATAAAAAATACGATGAAATAGAGTCAGTTAATTTTTGCTCCTATCAGATTTCTACATTTGAAGGAATGATGAAAAAGGTTATTACAAAATTGGAAATAATTGAAAAAATATTACATCTACGATCGAGATCGGGAAGACACCAGTCATTCCAATAAAATATGTATAGTGTCGCAAGAAGTAAGTGGTCATCTGATGCCGAAGATTTGTGGGTTACAATAAATTCTGATAAGTCTAATCGTTCTAAATTTCATCTATGTTGCGTTTACATCCCTCCCAGAGAATCTACAACCTTAAGTATATTTTGTTCTAAACTTGACGAAATTGTAAACACTAACCCTGATGATGCTTTTGTTATATGTGGTGACTTTAATTTACCCAATATTAACTGGTCTTTTGATCCCATTAACAAAAATTACGTACCCCTTCTGATAATGACTCCAATTTGTTTGTTGATACTATATCTTATTGTAATTTCTCACAATTTAGTACTTTTCGTAATATCTATAATAATACACTTGATTTTATTTTGAACAACAGTTTTCAAAATGTAAAAATATGTACAGATCAACAACAATTGGATCTGTACATATTTTTACATTTTGAATTTGGTAAAAAACCATACCACTCTGGAGTTTAATTTTGTAATGCACAACACACTTTCTTCCAAGAAATTAAATATCGACACTTTTGAATATGATTTTAAAAATGCCAATTTTAATAATATTCAAATAGATATTGATTTCGTTGATTGGGAAAAGGAGTTTGGCAAATTGGATACTTAAAACAGTGTCAATAGATTTTATCATTTACTTGAAAACATTATTTCCAAGAATATTCCATAGCTTTCTCGTTTGAGACGTAAATTTCTTCAGTGGTATAGCTCCACTGCTATTAAAACTATCAAGGAAAAGAAAAAATATTCTAAGTGGAAAAAATAAAAAAGACTATTTAACTTCTAAGGGGAAGATCTAAATATTTAATTGATCTAGATTATTAAAGTTATGTTAATCGTATTGAGACTTCTATTTCAATGGAACCTAAGCAAATATGGCAGTTCTTAAAATGAAGAAAAGGTAAACAATCTGTTATTCCGGCTTTAAAAAATAATAATGAAATGATCACAGATGGTCAAATTATTTGTGATACTTTTTATACCTATTTTAACCATGTACTCAACCCGCCCAACTTAAACCAAACTTACTCCCCTTCTAATACCTCACACAACAAATATATACCTAATTATTATATACCAATATCGACGATTATTAACAAAATTAAACAACAAAGCTTTGATAAAATCCCCACATATCTGTTAAAGAATTGCTCTCAAGAAATAGCGCAACCTCTATTTATCCTATTCCATAAATCGTTACAAGTAGGACACTTCTAGATATTTGGAAAACAGCATTAATTGTTCCTATTCTAAAATCTGGTAACAAATACCTAAAGGAAAATTATCGTCCTATTTCTAAATTCTGCATTATTGCAAAATTGTTTGAATCGATCTTATGTGACTACTTAGACTTTGATCTTAAAAATATTATTAATATCAAACAACACGGATTTATGAAAAAGCGGTCCATCGAAAGTAACCTTCTTATTTACACAGAGTAAAGCGTTTGATAAAATTGATCATAATAAACGGCTCCATAAACTTGCTGAGGTTGGTATTCATGGTAATTTGCTCAGATGGTTTTGTCTTATATAAGTAAAAGGACTCAAGCTATTAAAATTGGCATGTATAGCTCTCCCGTTTCTAGAAACAAAAATATTTTACTTAATTATAGCATTGATAATGCACCTCTTAATAAAGTATCTGTTGTAAAAGATCTTTGCATTTTTTATGACAGTAAACTATTATTTGACCATCATATCAATCACCTCATTAGTAAGGCACAGAAGGGCACTTGGTTTCATTAAACGAACGTCTAAAGACTTAAAAAAAAATAGTCCATACACTTTTGAAGTTTTGGATCTGTTATTTGGAATCCTCAGTATAACATTTATATAATTAAACTTGAAAGTGTGCAAGAGAAATTTATTAAATATCTCAATAAAAAATTCTATTTGCATCAGGTCAATAATCGATTTTTGAAATGAAATATCATTAAACAAAGTGCAGTACTTAAACAGTAGTTCTCATTCAAAGTTAGTAGACAAAATTTTAGAGAAAATTCCACACCTGTAATTTTGAACCAATCAAAATACGTGTTTTTGACAGATCACCATGGCAACGGAGGTATTTTAGTGGAAATTTTTTTCTCGTGGGGTACCCAACAGCGAATTATACTGGAAATTTTTTGACGTTTACAATAACAGACCATTTTTGACAGACTGGTTTTTATTTGTTCACATAATAGGTTTAGTTTTGATACATTTTAGTTACAATGCTAAGGTGTTTTCTATATTCTTCGGCCACTTCTTTTCTTCTTAATGGCGAAAATGCAGGACTTTGGATGCTTTGAATTATGTGTCTATGTCTAATAAAATATATATAATATTTAGACACTAATTTATTCCCCTTTTTCCCATTCAGCACTTTGAATTTTGCGTAGTTTAGGTGCAAATATTCGTGGACAATTCGGAACAAATTTTCGTTTTTCAAGTTGGAGCCACAATCCTCTATTAATCCGAGTAAGTAAGTCATGGTGCAATGATTGATCATTATATCAGACAATTTCACGCATATTTTGCATAGCGTATGATTTTCAAATCGATTCATTTTTAAACAAATAGGTAATTTTGTTGGTTTTACTTGCTGTGCAATATTCTTTATCGCAACAAAACGCGAGTTATTTAATGTTTTGAACTGTCAAAATACAATGATCACAGCCTCCTACGATTGATGCTTGCTGACGCTGGTTATGAATTTCATACCATTTTAAAGCGCTCATAACGCATGTTAATAAAAACGCAGAAAAACACTTTTCTACCACTTGTAGTTATTCAAAACTTACGTAAAATTAAAGAATATACTATTTTCTATTTTCAAATGGTATTCCCATGCAACTACAATGAGTAGAAATAAGCAATTTAAAGGCCTAAATAATTGCAGCGAAACATTTTTTTACGTCGGGCCGCTTGACAACTTCAAAACTGAAATTATATTCGAGGTTAGGGTCTCACTTAGTTACCATGACAACTCAACAATCAAGGCGACAACACCTTTTATGTTTCACTGGTGACTTGGAGAAAATAATTTGCATTGTTGAGAAACGAAAAATAAATTTTAAAAATATTTAATTTTCAACCATAATTCGGCGTGGAATTTTCTTACCGAATACCACGCGAGGTCAAATTAATATCAGGAAATTTTTTCTCGCTCATGAAAATTTTCAAAATATTCATGAGCTCGAAAAAATTTCCGGAAATAATTTGACCTCTAGTGGTATTACTAGTGAAAACACTTTTTAAACATGCTATTCAACAAAACTCTCACATATAGGAACCTTCAGTGAAAAAGTTATATCTGTTGAAAAAGATATCCTAATGGAAACAAAAAAATGTATTTTTAAGTAAAACAATTGAACTTTTAAAAAGCATTTTTATATACACCATTTCAAGAAACTTTTCGAAAAATTACGCGTGCAATGATCTTCTCTTCTAAAAAAAATTGAGATCGTAAGGATAACTGGAACCATACATAGTACATGAATAATAAAGAGGTAATTATATTTTTTTCAGTTACGCTACTCGTATACATGTACACACAGCCATACACGTGATTATTTGTCAAACAAAAGAGACCTAAATAAACACAAACAGACCTTGTCCCGGGGCAGATTATGTTTCTTATGTTCTGCATCTTTTAATCCTTTAATCATGAAACTGTATACCATGAAAAAGGAAATGAACTCGGCAATGTTGTATCCTAGATATAGTCGATTGCCTTTACGGTTTTCGACTAGGTGCCAAAATACGATATACCATACTTGTTGGAAAAGAATTGTACATACAGAATAGTTATAAAAAAATTCAATATTGAATAACTTTTAAAGATTATTTAAAAACTAGGTTTAACTCTAAACAAAAAGAATCAGTATTAACACTGCTAAAAGAAAACGATAAATATACAGGGTGTCCCGAAATTAGACAGTCATGTTTTAACAGCTTAATCTACATCCTAAAATAGGAGTAAAAATTTATATAAACATAGGTCCGAAAACGTTTTGTTTCCGAGATACAGGGTGTTAAAAGTAAAGTCCTGATGACACATTTTTGGAAATATTTTCTAAACTTTTAAAGATAACTATGTGAAATTTGGTTCGAATGCCAAACTTTTTACGCTCTATTTAATGAACTAAACGCCAGTTTTTGATCATCTTCATAGGTGGCTAAATTAGGGGAGGGGCATAGGGATAAATTGTCCTAAGTTTTTTTGTTGACTGTTTTTAACATTTTTGATTACAAAACTTGCAAAAAAAAATATTTTTTTATAATAAAGCTAGTTTTGTTGTATCTTTCAAGAGAAAAGCATTTAAAAATTTCATGATAAGTTAATGTTATCTTATTCGAAAGTGTAAACAATAATTAGTAGGCCTGTGGAATCAGATTTTTTTTTAACTTTGGAAAACCGGTGACTAAAGAAATTTTAGAAAATATTTACAAAAATGTGCCATCAGGACTTCACTTGTAATACCCTGTATCTCGAAAACGAAACGTTTTCGGACCTATATTTATGTGAACTTTGACTTCTATTTTAGGATGTAGATTACGCTGTTAAAATATGACCGTATAATTTCGGGACACCCTGTATAAAAGAAAATAAAGTGCGAAACCGTACTTAAAATTATTTAAATAATATTTAATATAGAATTTTAAATTTTTTATACAATTATTTTCAATATTTATATTATTTTTTACAGAGATCCTGACGGATCACCAAAAAGACGTCAATATAGAACCGTTCATCATCAGGAATCATTTCAAGAAACTGTAAAAAGTAAGTTATTCTAATTTTAACATATAAATTAACATATTTTGTAATAGCAGTGTCAAAATAATCTATTTTTCATAAGTAGCTACAAAAAGTTAAACTTTCCTTTTTTATGATATTATGAATAAACTAACAAGTGATTGAGGATAATTTTGATATCTACAAATTTCTTATGTTAAATTATTCCAAAAATGTTTATACAAAATTTAAGGGCTCGATAAAAATGAAATGTTTTTGATGAAATGAAGTGTTTTTGTAAACTTTGGAAATTAAAAAAAGTTGTTTCAAGGTAATTAATCACACATTTTTACTCAAAAAAAAACATTTAGTGTTTTGATAGAAATAAAATGTCAGTATTTACAGGATTTTTGAAAAGTTAGTAAAACAAGAAAAACTCATTTTTTAACCAACAAAATCATTAACCATGCGTTTTTGTCGTAAAATTAGTCGAACAACGCACCAAAATAATTTAGGGCTTCAATAAAAATGAAATTTGAAAACTCCAGTGTTTTTGAAAATTTTGGAATAGCTTTCAACATAATAAATTAGTATCCATACATTTTTAATATTAAATTAGGCTAAAAATGCACAAAAAAATTGGGTCTTCGATAGAAATAAAATGTCAATAATTACAAGATTTTGAAAATTTAGTTACATTTAAAAACTCATTTATTAAAAACCAATTTTTTAAATTTCAAAATCATTAACCATGCGTTATTAATGCCAAATTAATCGAAAAAGACATAAAAAAATTAGGACTTCGACATAAATTTGAAAATTCCAGTGTTTTTGAAAAATTTGAATATTAAAAAATATTTTTGAAGGTAATAAATCATTCTTCATGCGTTTCTGACTTTAAATTAATCTAAAAATGCACAACAAAAATTGAGGCTTTGATAGAAATGACATTTCATTAATTACAGTGATTTTAAAAATTTTCTAAAACCAAGAAACTGATTTTTCAACCTTCAAAATCATCATCCATGCGTTTTTGATTCTAAATTAATTGAAAAGGCACCAAAAAAATTTAGGGTTTTAATGAAAATGAAATTTGGAAATTCTAATATTTTGAAAATTTTGGAAATTAATAAAAAGAGTTTTCAACATTGTGAATTATTATACATGCGATTCTAATGTTAAATTAAGTAATTGAAAAATGTACAGAAATGAAATGTTAATTACAGGAATTTGAAAATTTCGAAAAATTATGAAACTCATTTTATAAACTACAAAATTAATAACTATGCATTTTTAATGTTAAAATAATCAAAAAATGTACCGGAAGAAAAAATGTGGGGCTTCGGTAGAATTGAAATTTGAAAATTCCTGTGTTTTCGAAAAAGTTGAAAATTAAAAAAATATTTTTCAAGATAATGAATCATTAATTTACATTTCATTAATCACAAAATGCATAAAAAATAGGACTTAAAATGAAATGTCAGTAATTACAGGGTTTTTGAAACGTTAAAAAATTGATTTTTTTTTTACCTACAAAATCATTAACCATGCGTTTTTGTCTTTAAATTAATTGAAAAACGCTCCAAAAAAATGTAGGGCTCTATTTTGTTGGTAATTTTGAAAATAAAAAAAAAATTCAATATAATAAATCATTATCTGGTGTTGAATTAATTGAAAAATGCAAATAATTTAGGGCTTCGATAGAAATGAAATGTTTGTAAGTACAGGATTTTTAAAAATTTAGTAAAATATAAAAACTCGATTTCTAACCTACAAAATAATTAACCAAGGTTTTGAATGTTAATTTAATCGAAAAAGACATAAAATTTAGAGCTTCGATAGAATTGAAATTTGAAAACTCTAGTGTTGATGAAAAATTTGGAAATTGAAAAAGAACTTTTTAGGTAATGAATCATCATCCATACGTTTATGACGTTAAATTTATTGAGAAAATGCCCAAAAAAATTAGTGCGTTGAAAAAAATTAAATTTGGGGATTTCGTTGCATTTAAAAACTTTCAAAATAAAAAAAAGATTTGTCAACGAAAGAAATCATTATCCATACGTTTCTGATGTTAAATTAATCGATAAAAGAAACAAAAAAATTAGGGCTTCGATATAAATGAAATATTGGTAATTACAGGGTTTTTGGCAATTTAGTAAAATTAAAAACTTATTTGTTGACCTAAAAGATCATTAACCATGCGTTCTTGATGTTAAATTAATCGAAAAATGCACAAAAAAAACATAAAGGTTTTGTTAGAAATAAAATGTTAGTAGAAATTACAAGGTTTTTAAAATTGAGCAAAATTAAAACAAAAAAACATTTTTCAACGTTATAACAACCTCAATACAATAGATCCTGTTAACATCCCTTTTTTTGTGTACTTAATGTCGCAAAATGTCACAAAATATCGCAAATATATAGAAAACAATGCTAGCGACATCTATCTAAACAGAACTATACCAACATATCAATCTATATTTATTTATTATATTTGATTATTACATTAAATTTGTCGGTATTATTTTTTTAGGATCAAGCATAACAAGTTACTCTTCAGTTAAAACAGTCGAAGACATAGATTCGCCATCAGACAAAGACAACGAACATTTTAAAATATCAAATGGACAGACATCGATAAATGGTAAGTTTTCTGAAACAGTTTGTTTCTAATACAGCCAGTCTAATGTAACAATTCTAATCCAGCGCAAAACTGTAGCGCGTATACATCTTGAAACGCCTAAAAGACAACACATTTCACTAATAACAGTATGACCCGAGAATACCGATCAAGGAGAAGTGACAGTAGCTGTCGGTGCCTTTGATATCGGGTGGACCTTTTTCACATGATGACTTTGATAAATACACAACTTAATACGCTGAGAAAACATGCTTATTTTCTACACTGACCGAAATAGTTTGGCAAACTATCTGAAATCATTGCTATAGTCCATGCGCAAATGGACGTGATTTAATTACATTGAAGTAGTTAGGGTTAATAGCAATGGTGAAATTTCGGCAGCAAAATATAATTCATTATGTAATAATTAATTATTTGTTATAAAAGTAAAAGACGTTTATTATTTTATAATTTATCTATAAAATTTGTTCAATATTTGGTTTATTTATTATTAAAAATGTAATAAAAGCCCCATATTTAAATTAAATTACCTTTTCCTTAAGTAAAAATAAGGTAAATAAAATTAAGGGTACCAAAAAAAATTTAGGTAACAAAAAGACATTGAGAGTTTGAGAGGTTTAACTAAACTGTTGCAATGTGCTTTTAGCTTTTAGGTTTGGAAAGTACTTATATATTTTTAGAATTTCTGGATTTATATCATATTAAAAGGACTTTCAAGTTGATAACTCATTTCTGTAGAAACAAGTGTTTTCTCGCAAAGATAAGCCAGATGCCATTTAAGGTTTATGTATTTAGAATTAAATACCTAGCGTAACTATCACCCTGACAATACAAATATGTCCATTGGACGTCCATTCGATATTCAATTTTGGATGTCTAGAAGTCCAAAATGAGTTTTTTTTGGACTTTCGACATCCAATGGACGCCCAGTGAAATATAAAAATGGCACACTTTTGACCATTCAGAGAACGTCCAATTCTGGAATATATTTGGACGTCGAATACTAGACATTCAAAAAACGTCCAAGATTATATTTCCATTGAGACCACATCCCCACTTTTTTTACAGAACCGCAACTCACCACACACTATTTTATATTATTAATAATTTGTTTATTATTTTCGTAAACCGCAATACACCATTTATTTTTTTTTAAATTAAAGATCGCTTGACCTGAGCAGATATCGAACTCACGACACATCCATTATCGTTTTATGCTTTCAATCACTAGACGAGCTCCACCAAGGAACCACTTGAAAACTTTGTACTAGATGTAGTTATAATGGAATAAAAGATTTCAAACTTCCGCTGATAGAATGAAATGCAATAGATTCAATTTGTCAATTTTTAATGACCAATTATATTAAAAAAAGGAAGTGTATATAAATTGGAATTATCTGGTAGGCTTAATAAATAATGACCTAATTTTGGGTTCATCTTTTTCTATTGTGTGAGAAAAACCCAAGGAGATGAGGTCCGCGTCCAGGTTCCGGTGCACCAGGTGTTCAGGGGATCGTTTTCGATGTAAAATTTGGATTGAGCGCCCAAAAAACGCCCTTACAATGATTTTCGGGTTGTTTTTGGCGATCTTGTCAGGAAAATTTTCGAGGATGACGTCTACGTCGAGAGTTGGGCGCACCAGGTATCAGGGGGTGTTCGCCGATGCCACATTTAAATTCAGCACCTCAAAAAAAACCTATAACGATTTTTGGTTCGTCTTTTTCGATTGTGTAAGGAAAACTCATGGAGATGAGGTTCGCGTCCAGGTTCCAATGCACCAGATGTTCAGGGGGTCATTTTCGACGAGAAATTTGGATTCAACGCCCCAGAAAATGCTCCCACACTGATTTTCGGGTTTTTTTTGACGATATTGTCAGGAAAATTCTCGGAGATGACGTCCACGTTCAGGTTCCGGCGTAACAGGTATCCGGGGGGGTGTTAGCCGATACCATATTTGAATTCAACGACCCAAAAAACCGCCGGGAGCTGAGTTTCTCTCCTTCCCCGCATGAATTTCGGGAGAATCCCACGGAGATGATGTTTATCGGCGTTCCTGAGCTCCAGGTCGGCTGTGGATCAATTTGAACATCATAATCGTAATTAGCGACCTCGAGAACTTCTGGCAATCCGATTTGGGCCAGTTCTGACTCTTATTTACAAAGTTCTTTGATCTTCCAAAAGTCGTCTCAAAAAATGAATTTTTTTAATGCTACAGCAATGTAATTTTTGGTTTGTATAAGAAAAAAAGTAGAGCCATTTTTCCAAAATATTTTTGGATCGAATGCAAAAAACCACATTCCGATCCGTCTTAGTCTAAAAAATTCTGAACTTTTTGCTTCAATGCTTCGACTATGAGTATTTATTTGTATATTTGTTCTTATATTTTTTCTGGATTTTGTCACTGTGAATCTTAAACTTTGTCTATACATATATAAGTAGACTTTTTTTTTAATTAATCGTAGAATAATTTAATGAAGAGTGGTGTGGAAGAATCGGTCTTAATGATCTAACACCATATCTAATATTTGCCGATTATTGTTGTACTAATGTAAACTTTATTATTGTACTACATATTTTTTTTACTGGAAAATAAAAATTATTAAATATTATTATTTATTATAACTAAAAGATTATGTCACGAAAAATAATTAGACATTTTCATTGTTATCCTTGTAATTAGGTTCGTTTCAATATAAATAGATATATCTTTTCTGACCCATCAAAATACATACATGTATAAACATAGATTATCCAAAAATGGGGTGCGCCCTTATACACCAAGCAATCAGTTCCGCCATTATCATTATTATCGTCGTGATCATATTTTATTTTTTTCGGGCTCATACTCATATTCATAAGCGTGTCTTCCGTTTCGCCCGTGTTGTCATCGTCGTTTATTCTTTCTTCCGCACCTCTGTCAGTTTAGTCAGTTTAGTTTCAGCCTTCGGGTGAACTCTTGAAGAAGCTTCTCCGGTTCGAGTAATATATCGGTCGTGGCGGGCAGTTTTGTGGTTCGAAACGTCGAGTGAGCTAGTTTTGGTTGAATTCGAAGTGGTTATTTAGATCCGTTATTTGATCTTTAGACACAGTGTGTCACAAAATTAGGACCCTTTATGCATTGTCATCTTTTTTATTGTATTTAAAAAATAGACTAAAATATTGAAATTATTTGTAAATAATACAAGGGGCTGTTTTATAATAAGCAATAATGATATTCGTTTATAAAAAATATTATAATTTAAAATACAGGGTGGGCCAACGAAAACGAAACAGTTCAAGTTTAGGGTTCTTTAGGTCATTAAAAAAAGCAAAAAGTCAATTTTTTGCCGAAGGAAAAACCCTTTAGACTTATTTCCAGACCCCTATCTTTAACCTCTTGAACAGTGTGCTGTACATCCGTAAAATCTTAAATGGGAAGTAGGGTTGAGTGACACCTTGTTTGAAAGGTCTTTCAGTTCTCTTTTTAATGATGCGCCTCATTTGTGAAATGAGATGTCATTTTGATATTTTAAATTTCAAATGAATTCGTTTTATTTACAAAGACGCCACAAAATAAGAAAGATTAAATAATACTTTTAATAGACTTTAGCATTAATTAAATTTTCAAACTATCCAATTTATAACCATGTTTATACCGTCGAAAATTAAACACTTAAAATTGTATTAAATCAACTTGAAAATTATTGTAACCTTAAGGCAATAGGCTGTATTAGCGAAATGTTTGCAAATCAATAATTACTGAGGCCCTTCCCATGGGCCCTCAGTATTGCATTCGTGCAGACGAAAAAACTTTCTTACCCCCATTTTTTTAAACTTTTTTTCACGTTTCCGATCATTCTGAGTCCGAAAATCAAAAAAAATTTCGTCTGGTCGTCTGTATGTATGTATGCCTGCACGATAACTCGAGGACGAAAGTTCTGATTGACTTGCGGTTTTGATTTTCTTAAATATTTGCTTCTAACTTTTCAGAATTTTTGATTCATCCTAAATACTTTAATATAAATGTTCTTAAATCCGCCTGTGTAATCCTTATGTGACTAATTTATACATTCCGAGCATTCCACGTCTAAATTCCTAAGATTTCTGAAATTCCTAAAATTCCAGCGACCTGTTGATTGTAAAGGTGAGATTTCTTAGGGGGGTTGAGACTTTCATAGTTGCAATCATAGGCTATTTTTATTCGAAATAGTAGTCGTCAAGCCTGCCAATTTATGAAAAATATACAAGCAGTTTCTTAAAAATGATTTTTTTATGGTGTTGCTAACTTAAGCTTACTACTATTTCGCTCCTAGCCACAGTGACACTGGCTCTGTCGCAACATAGTCGCAATCCCATAGAATAATTAACCGGTTATTTTATTTCGCATGGCTGTGCCTGTCAATGTCAAGTATCAAGTTGTCAACTGAACTGTGATGTGTGATGTGTGATGTCAAATTATTTAAAAATGTTTGTATCAATTTGTGCACATTTGTGGCTGCTCCGGGTATTTTTCACAAAAAGTATGTCATTTTAGCTTTCTTTCTAGCTACTTCACGACCCACCTCGTTCTGCATTTTGATGTAACAAAATACACATTTCCTTCGACGCTTTTTACCACCATCATTTTTTCTTTCTAGAAGAATGTGTCGGTTTTGTTTATCTTCTCAGGGATTGAATTTGCAATAGGTCAGTTGCTAAACTTTCGCGAAACTCAGTAATTTTAAGTTTTTGGTTTGTTGCAAGTTTATACACGTTATGTGAATGTACAACTGCTGTTCCCAATAATAGTTCCAGACCCACTTTTCTATACCACTTTACACCTTTTCGTAAAGTGGTAGGGTAAAATCCCAATTGATCTGAAAAATCTATGCTGTTATATGCTAGCACAGCTATCGGTTTCTCTGCAGCTTCCTTACAACGTTTCTTTTTTGAAACGGGAGTACCACCACCAACAGGTTCTTCTGCTACATCGTTGTCCTTCTTCACTATTTCATTTTGTGATTGAGTAAATATTACAATATTTT